TTAACTTATATTATGTAGGTACTTACTGTGACGATACTAACAGTGATTGATTTTTAAAATTCAATAACATTCCATTACATAATAATATCATATATAGTTGGATAAACGACAAAATATAGGTATATTGTGATTTCGTTAACTGAAGTTATTGATTCAAATTTTAAGGTGCACCCTTGATTTTTTTTTCCATAAATGTTTATGTTGTCGCGATGATAGAACGATTTCAAAATGGGTGTGTATACGCTTGATAGTGCTTAATATTATGTTGAATATGTTTATGTCATTATATTTTAGTATTGTCTGAAATGTGGTTAAATACCTAGCGGGAAAACCAACCTGGCGGATTTCGGCATATATTAGAGACTGTGTATATAACGCGCTAATGGATATAACAGTATATATTTATACACATATAATTTATTTCATTTTGCTAATTTAATTCGGTTAATTTCACATCAACAACGTCAGCAGGACATTATTATTATAATATGGAGCGGAAACGTCTGTGAATATCCACCCCGTCTTATGAACAGATCAATGGCGAGTGCCATACATATATAACATTATGCCAGTTTCGGTGTTTGACGTGAGCGAGCAAGGGTGCAGGGTTTAGGCTTTAATGTACGTGGTCGGCAGGATTGAGGCAAAGAAAACTAGGACAATCAGGCATTAAGAACAATTATTAGAGAGGCGAAGGGATTCCACTTTGAGAAATCTAAAACCGGATATTAATTAAAAGCCTATTATATCCAACGTAAACCGTGCAAACTTCCAACTATGTATCTATGATATAGAAATAATACATTACATTTTGCATTGGAAATGTACCTATTAATATTTAGACTACATATTCCTTTGAGGGTTAACCGTTGATAGTAAAATAAAATTGTGCCAATTATTTTATTTTTTATCTAAAACGATACTATATAATAGGTGTTATTTTACATTTAGGGTAGGGGTTGACACGCTCCCTTTAAAATACTTCATCGAAATCAATCATTTTGTGTCCAGCGTAGAAAAATACGCGATTCGGCCTCCCCTCATTCTCTCTACCCGTTGCGATCTTAGTATCTTACTCATTTCAATCTCAAAGTGATATCGTGTGGACAGACGGACAGTCATCGAATATACAATATTCACATCATACATGCATATGGTGTATACTATATTGAACACTGTATAGGTACATATACCCAGCACCAACTATTTAAATTTTCGCAAATTTTTTTGCGCGAACAATTAGTACACTATTTTTATGAGTTCTCTTACGAAGGGTTTATTATGATACCTGCTAAAAAAATTAGGGCCTCAAAATAAAATTTTCTACGTTTGGGGCTTAGAAGACTTTTCTAACCCCTCCCCCTCCAACACACCCACACACATATTCATTGTACATGGACACTGTTCGATAGCGTACCAAGATAATACTCTACCACATGATTTTTGTTGTTGTTATTGTTGATGTTGTATTTATACCCTTTATTGCCTATATAATATATACATATATGATATACTCATATATGTGTTATGTACTTATATCTATAAAAGTATACTTTATGATGGGTGGGTCGTGCGTGTGTTATATATACATAAACTGTTATGTATATATACTTACGCTGTAGCTCGCGTGACATAACTCTTGGCGGGTTCTGTGAGAGGGTGGAACGGCGGCGAGGTCGAAGAATTATAGCGACGACATTTCGATTTGACGAGCCCATTGACTTAATATATTATTATACGACTAATAAAAACGACGAATAAAATATTCAGGACGGTTATAAAACGACGCTATTTCACTGCGTGTAATGATTGGTTAGATAATGATGAGTGTTTTTATTTCGCATGACGTCGTTTCCCCGCCCACGGAAGCCTTTTCTTTATTTGCACATGCATGTACGCCATCGAGTTAATCCGAGATTAAATGCTGCCGATGTGCGTTTTGTTTTTGGTAAGAGCAGGGAGAAGAAAATTTAATATTATAATATAGAACACGAAATTGGTCTTTTTCTGAAAAACGTGTTCAACTTATTATTGTTCTTGGAGTAATGGCTCGTCCAATGTTGATGTGCATGTGTACATCATGAATGTGCCAAGACCTATAAATATTAAAAAATTATGTCATTATGTGACGAAAATTAATAAATGACTCTTACATAGTTACATAAGAAACCATATGTTACGATATACAATAATAAGTAGTATTATTACATGACATTGAAACATATTTAATATTATGCTTTGCAAGTATTTTTCATTAAAATTTCGTTGAAATAGCTTAACTTACCTTTTTTCACCGCACATACGTCTTATACCTATATTTTATAATGTATTTATCACTATTTCTTTGTAAAATGTATATAACATACGAAAACATTATTATGGCACAACAATCATGGACTGGTGTCTGGTAAGAAAAAAATTAATATTATCATGTCAAGTAACAATAACACGTCTAGGACTCGATATTTAGATATAATTTTAGTATTGTGTACGACTCTAGTGCCAAATTTTGCTGATATATTTTGTTTTAATATTATTCTCATAATTATTATAATTTAATATTAATTAAAAGCATTGAAGCAATTATTTTGTTGTGTTTGGTAACTGGTAAGCAAATATTTTTAGAGTCGTAGATTAGGATTATATAGATTGCTGTCCATTTAGGATATAAACGACGACAAGTGTCCTGGGACTTCAGAGTTCAGAATCTAGGGAGGACCCTTGATTTCGAGATTACTTTGTTTATTTTTATCGTATCCAGTGCATCAATCCCTTAGTTTTATTTTACTTCTGGATAGTAAAACTATATAATATATATAGGTACACCCAATGTCCCTGACCTATAATATCTTAATACGCAGTCTAGAAAGTTTTAATATACCAGATTTGTAACACATTAGTGCAATATGCATTGGATTTATACTTGATGTATATTGTTTACATTGGAAATGGTACTTTTACATTAAAATGGAAATATATTTTCTTGTAGAAAACAATACGGGGGAAAAGGAAAAGGTTTAATACTATTGTGTATTTAAATCCTACTTTTTAAGAAAAAGGGTGTGTTTAGAAGAAAAATAATGGGTTAAAGTCGTTCGATAAGTCGATTGGATGTAACGATGTAGAATATAATATTATAATTCATGAAAATAGAAAAAAAATGTTTTGCATTAAAGATTTTCATAATATTGTCAAATATTACCAACAGTGGTACACACTGTTAATTTCTTAAAAATGTCTTAAAAATACAAATCACTTAACTATCCCAAATTTAGACTTATAACTTTAACTCTGAAATATTTTAATGTTTTATCGTAGGTGCGTATTGAATTAGTTTTCAATGCCTAATTTAAATAACACTTATGTTCAATTAATGCATTAGGTACGACAACTACGAAATAAATGGTGTATTACAGTTGTGATTAATCTTTTATTTGGATTTAAATCAAACCCAAGTAGCACAACTATACAGTCGAGTTTCGATAGCTCGAACCTCGAAAACTCGAATTTTTTCTTACTACTTGAAGTGTTTTAATTTGTGACTTGTGTTTGAGGTATATTAATAACTCAAAAATGTATAAATCGAGTTTATTTTTATTCCTTTTGAAATTCAAGTTAATAATACTCAATTGTATTCAATTTTATAAACATAAATATATAATTATAATAAGAGGTATGTTTTAAATATCTATTACGATACCTAAAATAATACATATTTTAATAGTTGATATAGTAAATGTTATTAATTATATTTTTTGACTAGTGATACAAATATTGATTAATACTTACATGATACACGATTTACGAGTAGTACCTAACAATATTGGTGAGTAGTGACACGGTTATTTATAATACAATAATACCATCTACATATAACTATTAGTTATTACGATATATTTATCAAAGAAACATTATTTTCACGGTATTATTTAATAGATATTTCAGTGAATCTATATTCTGTATACCTTTAAGTACATTTAATATGAATTTCTTTGATATAAGATATCTATTTAAAAAAAGACATAATAAATGAAAATTAAGTTGTTATAGTTAGGATAGACTGGCTTAATATGACATACTATAGGGCAATATGACACTTTGATGTTGCAATAAGAAATACTGATATTTGAAATCCTAGGACTCTTCAATTACATGACTTATAACCAGGTTAACTAACCTACCTTAGTCCATGTTTATAACCCCCTATGTATGATTATACATGTTAGCTCCATGCTTGTACCTTAAAACGAAATTGATAATATACGAAATTGTATTTTGTGTGGTATACCTATTACCTACACACATTTTTTTTCCAATCTAAATATTTAATTTTTAGATTTTAAATTTTGTCATACTTAAGGTTGAATATTTTAAGCTGCGTAAAAAAAAGTGGGCTATACTATAGTTTTGTTATAAATAAGCCTAGTAATAGTACTGAAATAAAACTTGTATTTCTTATAACAAAATTACATACCAATAGTATACTTTTATTAAGCTTTGTTATTTACTGTTAAATGTTGTTTAAATATGTGACAATATAATATATTGGTGTTAAGTGATTATAATTAAAATATTGCATACCTAGTTGAAATTATACAATGAATTTAAACAATTTCTTTTTTTACTATACTATGGTTGCCTATACAAACATATTATGTATGTAATTTTACCTGAGCACCCGGGTAAAATTACATAGTTCATTTTTTTTTTTTTAAAAGCCAATCACTTTTTAATTTTTATAACATAATAAATGTATTATTTAAATGCAAGAATGTGTGTAACTATAGTATTAGTACAAATATATGCGGATATATTTTCAGGTGTTCACTAATAATACTATTCATATTCATATTATTATTACTATTTACAAAATATATACTTGCTATACGTATTTACTTAATACAAAAAATATGATAACTATTTGATAACATAGTACAGGCATTAAGCTTATATCATAATAAATAATAATTTACAACAAACGTATTTCTGTCGATTAATAGATTTACGGTGGGCATTCAACAGTCGCAGGCAACAGCTCTAGTTTCAAATTTAAGTCATTGGCTGTGCTACGCTAACAGCGCAGTAAACCCGTTGATATACAATTTCATGAGCGGTAAGTTAAATTCTTGAAAAAAAAAATGATTTTTAAAAAATATTAATTATTTAAAACTATTTTTTGAAATAGTTTGTAACAGTTCGTGTAATTGAAAATGTATAATATGTTTTCTTGTCTTTTATTTGTTTATTACTTCCGATTTCCCAACGGAAACCTATTTTAACACCTGTACTGGTTTGAAATTTTGAAATAGAATCCTATTTTTTTTTATTAAAACTAAATCTATAATATATATAAAACACTAAATATATACCTATTACCTACCAGTAGTGGACCATAAAGTGATTCAAGGAGGGTGGGTGCTTTTTCATATTATGAAGCTACGAAAATAGGTATAGTTCAAAGTTGTACGATCAGTACCTACAGCCTGCTGTCATACGAGTAGATGGCAGGTGCCACCTCAAAAATTAAATAAAACAACTACATTCATAATTTTTTCAACAACATATTATAGTATTATATCAATTAATATATATTTATTATTTAATCATTAAGATTTAGTACACTTATACTACCATAACTCTCAAATTTAAAAAAATAACTTGGTTTAAAAACTATTGAATCCTCACTGATGTATACTAGTACCTATCTATACAAAATTAAATTATAATATATGGCAAGTAATTTAACGGGTACGTAAATTTGTATAAAGTTTCTTTATACGTTATATAAATAGTACAGTTAAAATCTTATGCTTAAAAATAATTTAAAAATATTATTTTAACAGAGACAATATTATATAAGTAGGTAGGTACTTGATCAGTTGAGTAACATATATATACAGTGTGGTGAAGTATAGCCCACCCACCATGTTATAACATTTTAAGGTTTACAAACACTTGGAAACTGATAAACACAGTGAATCACTATACTCTATATGAAGGGTAGACTAAATATTTGCTGTATAATACGAAATAGTACCGACTACCTAGTTCAGTTTATACTGTAGATGTTGATGTATATTATATAAGTGAAGTACATAAAATATAAACTATACCTATTCAACACGGTGAGTGACCGTTATATTCGGTAAAATACGATTGAGAACCGAATTTTAAGTAATTCAATTGAGAACGCTCAGTTTATATTTTTTTCCAAAATTGCCATAGATACCTATTGAACAATTTATAGAACAATTGAGCATGATATATTTTAGTACCTACTTTGCTAGATAAATAGTAAACTCCGAAATACGTATATAAAACTTTAAAATGACCTAGAAAAATGACTCAAGTCGATTTTTGTTCCACAATTTTTAAGCCATGAAGTTGTCGAAGATGGGTTTTTAGAGGTAATAAACAAATGTAGAACAAATAGTTAAAAAAAAGGAATTTCTAAAAAAATTAAAAGGCGAAATGGTTAACATTAAAAAATAAATATAAAACATGATACAAGATTCAGTTAGTATATATTAAACTATTTGGAATTTTATATATTATAGGCTAAGAATATCCAGAATTGACATAATAAATATGAAGTAAGGCTTATTACAATTTATTATTTATATACCCATTTTTTTTATTTGATTATGATGATTATTATATTTATGACTAGTGAACATTTTGTTTGACATTTTGATTATTTATATAACATTATATACATTAAATAATTTTTTAACAATAATAATTGTTTTTCGTTAACTAGCATTTTTATTCTAGAATCGTTTAAAATCAATTTTTTTTTTTTTTTTTTTTTTGTACCGCGAACATGGCATTGGCGGTGGAGGAATATATTAGGTTGTACACAGTTGTTTTGGCGATTTTATTGGGCACCGTAGGTTCTGCCACGGGGTGGGGAGGCGCATTTTACACGTGACTTCCCGGAAAAACATGCGAGTCGAACCCGCGTGCAGCCCGCTAGACGCGTTTAGACCGATCGCCACTCGTCCAAAATCAATTTAATGATATGGCAACGTTGCACTTAAATTCATTCTTAATCTATCAGATTTTTTGGTACACATTAAATTTTTCGTAAATTCTAAGTGTTTTTAATCGTTCAGCCAAACAATTATAATTTTATAAATAGTTTGATTGCCTTTACACGTGCACATGGGCACATGTTGCGATATGAAATGAGGATATATTATATTATAATATACAATATACATATATTATAATACATGTTTAATCCGACTAGGCACGAGAAAAAATGAACAATTAATATAAAATATACTGCGTTATATTTGTGTATTTCAGTTTTAGTGTAACTCAATTTATGACATTTTTGGGCTAGCGATTGGGTCTGCGATAATTTGGGTACATTTTGAAAGCGGCAAGTTTAGTCCGGGGTAAAAAAAAGTAGTAGGTAAGTTGGGTCCCGACCATAAACCTACTTACCTATCTGTTCGGCCCGATCGTTCAAGTTTTTACCAAAAACATAATATTATAATAAATACATAATACAAAGTATTTTAATTTATACAATATTTTAATTTATATTTTATACCATATTATATTTATTTAGAAGTTTAAAACATAATAATAGTATGTAATATAACATAATATAATATATATTCTATATTTATATCTATAGCTATTATATTATAATATAATTATAAAATTTGACTTCTAATAAAGATGATTAGACATTAAAAAAACGGAATAAACATGCGAACATTTTATTTTCGAGACTCAATTTACCTAGTACCTTTTTTTTTCCGGGACTCAACTTACCTACAACCTTTTTTTTTGGCTGGGACAAAATTTACCGAAATAAGGTCATTTGGGACCCATTTTACCAATCCTGGACATTTTAACACTTGGTAAATTTCCAAACGTAGTAAAACTATATATATATAAAGGTGATTGATCATGAAATATTAAGGGCAAGTGTAAACACACACAAAAAGCTTGGCCTAGTGGAATTGTGTTTTGGCATGGTTACCTATTTACCTCGAAAACTATTAAATGGAAATAAAAAGTTTTATAAATTATTCGTATAAAATAAAGGCATAGGAAAAAAATATGAACATTTTAAGAATAAAATATAAATTATTTGTTGATTTCATCATATTATATTTACAATTCCAAAAAAAAGGAAAAATTAACACTTTTCGGACATAATTGTCTCGCTTTAAATGGATCACTCTGTTTATATTATAATAATAAAATGTATTACGGGGTCTCGTACGGTCCTGGGAGGCCACACTCCGTAGTATCATAAAGGTGGTGAGGAGAGTAGATGATGGCTATTGGATGCCAAACCCCAGAACTGAATCCAAATAATTATTGTCGATAAAAAAAATAATAATAAACTGGCGTATCATCCGTTTTTCCATTTTGCAGGCAAGTACCGTAACGAATTCAAACGGTTGTTCCTGTGCTGGGGCTCAAACAGACAGAATCGCCTGCGCCGGGGAGCACACACGTCCCGGAGTGGCACGTACATTTGCCGTTTCACGATGACCACGATGAAGGCAGACAACGTGAGTTTCGGACTGTCGCCTGAAGACATTCAGTGAATATAATACTATAATGGTGACACGACGGAGACGAGACTATATTATATAATAATATCATTATTATCGCTCGGAGGCAACATATTTTTTTTTAAATTATTTTTAGTCTTCTTATTTTGGCTTCGGCGATATATAATTCATTGTACGTGCGTGCGTTTGTGTGTGTGTGTGTAAACATATATAATATTATATATAAAAATACAATTTGGGGTCAACTTAGGCCCATTTATATATGGCGACGAGATCCTATATATGTGTGCACAGAAAAAAAAATACGTGCTGGCGAGTGCATTAGGAATTATCGATATAATATATACCAGTCGCACGTGTCCGGCGGTCTACTATCATTTCCCCTCCCCCTAAATGTATACCAATCCCCTTAATAAAAGTCTGACGGCTGTTTCCTAGAGAATACAACGCATATATATAATATATGTATTTACATTTTATCCAGGTCTTCTGCCACGATTTCAAATATATCGTTTTTAATATATTTGAGTTTTTCTATACTATATACAGGGTGATTCACCAAACAAAATCACCCCCAATTTTCCGCTAATAATGAATTTGTCAAAATCTGATTTTCGGAACATTTAAATATACGTACCTACTTTTTATGTGTTCAAACTTTTGAGATTTTTTGTACTACTTAACGAGTGTCCTGTGGTGATACAAATTTCTGTTTTTCAAATGAGAACTCCCATTTGTACTGTAAATTATTTAGTGGATAATTTTTTTTTTATGTTGTTCATAGGAGACTCCTTAAGTAGTACCAAAAATATCAATAATTCGAAAATTTGGTATTTATAAGTACATTATTTAGACATTACAAAACTCATATTTGAATAACTAGATTATGAAGAAAACGGTAGGATGAACATGCTTGGTGAATCACCATGTACCTATATACTTTTAATACTAGGTATATATTATATTGTTATGATTATACTTTAATACTACCTATATAATAGAAGTATAATATACTAATATACTATACGGTATTTTTTGCTCGTTTATTCATCGTGTGTTGATTATTAATTTATTATTGTATAACGCGTATGTATATATTATAATAGTTAGTATATATTATTTTTTATTTAATAATACATAATATTAAATTAACTGTATGTTTCATTTATTTTCTTATTATTATAATAATAGTTTTCGATATTGGCTACAATTTTCAGAACCACCTCACGGTTAGGAATGTCATAAATTATAATATTACATTTTACGATGCAGTATACACAATATAACTCAACAGAAATCATAGAAATATAGAATATTATAATGATACGCGTGAGAAGTGAATTATAAACGCTCGATTTCTACACTTCAGCAGTCGTAATAATACATTTCTACTCATTATAATATATTAACCGACGTATTTAACCGATAAAATACTATTATATTGTATAATATTATATTGCTTAGATGTTGCGTACCTATATCGGTTGACGATTAATGTAAGTATTATGTATAGGTACCAGAGCAGTGCCAAGGTAAGGGAGGGGGGAAATGTTCCTAAGGGTGGAAAATATTGAAATATTTTAAAGGGTGGCTGAAAATTTGTAAATATGTATGTTTAATAGGGGTGCCAAATATTATTGCCCCGAGGCGCCAGTTAGCTCGGCACTGTTACCCAGTGGTAGGTACAGTGTTTCCCGAGCAATACGGTATCCAATATGATTTTTACTGACGCCGTTTCGATCAGAAGACCATTAGGAAACACTGTATATAATAATTATTGTACAGCTTGTTAGTACCAAGTCGTGTTGGAAAAGCAGGCACGTGGTGTATAATATTGCCAACACCTGTTTGGGCGTTTCATTCGTTATATTACGCTCGACTGACGGGTTGACTTAATTATAATATAATATTATACATTTACATTCTACGTACGACGCCTTATAAGTTATAGCTATAGTATAATATAATTATAGTCAACGGTATTGTACCGTATCTGTTTAATTTAAGTCATGTAATAATCGAATTTATGATAGACGAAGACATAATTAAACCTAGCTATTTATGAATATAATATTTCTGCAGCGTCAAAATTTTCAAAACTATGTGTGACATATTATTTTTTATATTTTATTATAGTTTTGTAATTTATACTAGGTGACACGGGTGTTCACTAACCGCTTTTCAATAGGTGTAATGGTTTATTTACTACGTTTTTTGATTAATGGTGGTATCCCAACTTATCCACCAGGTGCCCACTTGTCCCCACTCGTATTTTTGCATGAATGTAAAATTTCCACCCCTAGAAAAAATATCATATTCCTCCAGAGCAACAATGCGAAATTAAATGTTCTGGCTTTTTTTTTTATTCAATACTGTTGGGTAGTTATAGTAATTTTTTGCCAGAATTTGTGATTAATATAGATTATAAAAAGACAGAAAGTCGTTTCATATTTTTCCAAACAAAGAAAACAACCTAACGTCCTGCAAATTCCTGCTTCCCTTTCAGCATGTTGGTCCTTGGACTAAAGTACCTACAATAATGTAGTATTATTAATTAATTCATTTCCCGGGTGTAATATAATATAATATAATATATGTGTATACAATTCACTGATGTCTGCCACCACCGATGTGGTGTGATTGTAATAATATACAATATACCTACCCCGAAACAATGATAACAATAATTGAATGTTGACGTCATGTTGTACATTATTTGACTAGCCGACCAACCTAAACATATTTATAAATAATATATAACTAAGTAGGTACCTACTAAATAACATACTAAACAATTAAATAATATAATATGGTAACACATTACACAATTATGTAAAATGTGCAAGCAAGCCGGTAATATAGCGATAATGCAATACTTTTACCGGACAAATATGACAGACGTTATTATTATATTTCCCTACGGTTTTTTATATCATTAGCATAGCATGATTACCGTCCATACTCGAGTTCGGGTAACCGACAAACCATAATAATATTATTTACTGCATAATAGTTCTGCTTGCTTTACCGACCTCGCGATAAACACGTTTTTCCAATTAATTAATTTTTATCTATGCCCTCGCAATTTCCTGTTATAGATGATCTTCCATACATTCATACGTATTAATTAGTTTTTCAGGTGACCCGTCGAATGTACATTTATAAATAAGTCGGTCAATAATTTTAGACGAAATAATTTAATATTTTAATATTATCGTTAGTCTTGATAAAACGTACAACTGATGAAATAATTAAATGTTTGTTTATAATATGACGCTTTTAAAATAAATTAAAATGTATAGGTATAAAAATGAGTTGGTACATTTTTATTTTTCAACAGATTTTTGTTCCCAAAATGACCTAACATAAAATAATTCAAAACAAAAAGTCCTAAATCAATAAAATATTATCACCCGACCCTTTTATCAGCTTCCGGAATCCGGAATACGTCTAGATTAATATATTATTACTTTTGGACTTTGGCCGCTTGTAGCGGTATTACCTATATGTATATCTATGGTATTATATTTTTTAGAAACTTCATAAAATGGGACGTCAAATCGCATGGACGATTTTCTACATTTTTCTGTGCCCTGCGTTAGGTATTAATTTACGTTGATGCTCACAGTTACGCATCCCGAAGTCGAGCTTAACTTCAGATATTGTAATAAATACTATACCAAACCAAACCTATTATTATTATAATAAGCGACTTATGAATGAACGCTTGTTGGATTTTAATAATAATATCACTACCTGACGTATACCTACTGTATAATAATAAAAATCATAAAATACGATTCGTTATAACACGTACCTATATTTTTAGTTATTGAACATTATATTTTATCACGTACGCATAAATACATGCCTATATCGAGTATAAATAATAAACACGTATAATATTATACGTACTTACCTACACTTGTAATATTATACACTCGGAAAAATAATTGGTCGGCATTACTATGATAAATGTGTGCCTCTGTGTGTGTGTGGGAATCGGTAATAATAAATTAACTTTACCAATAATTATTTTTTAAATGTAAATAATGCAACACTATTATACATTATAAAAACACATGCTGCAGTGACTTCATAAAATGTATTTTAGTTTATATTAGTTATTAATTTGCCCAAATATTATGTGTCCCACCTAAAAAAATTCCACCACTCATCATGTAATTGTTTTTTCTTTCTAGTCACTAAATTGTAAGTGGCTTTGGGTGTTTATATATTTTAAGGACCATTATTATTATTATTGTTAACGATTATTATATATATTTGTAATTATTATAATTATTTTTTTGTTTGTGCATTAAACTTTCTCAATTATTGGTGTTTTCCAAACTAAATAGTTGTTTTTGTGTTTACCTACCATAATGCAATATGTTTTTAACTTTTAACAACTCCTCAACAACATATAATTAGTAAAGCTAATAACTATAACCCGTCTACATATAATAAAACAATATAATTTAAAATATATAAATATAAGTAGTAAACCATTTTTTTTGGCTACAAATTGATTGTGCTGGATTGTGATCGAATTGCATCGTTTGTGTTGCAGCCTTTAGGAGTTATAAGGGCAGTCATTTCGCTGGCACCCCACAATCGTTATCCTCTATAACTCCTGAAGCGTTGCAGCACAAACGATGAAATTCGAGCACAATTCAATACAACTACAAACGGAAGCCATTGGTTTGAATCCAAAATTTGGAAGTGGTGGTGCCAGGGAAATGATCCTAAAATTTCGTATTTTAGTCTCGAAGTATATTAGCTAATACATATAATATACATTTTTTTTTATAATTCATCAATCCCGGAGAAAATCAGCCTCAGGTACAAGTAATGTATAAAATATTAAAAAAACAGTATTTGAGGTAGGTTGTAGCCAGTAGGTACCTATAACTAAAAAGTAAAAAGTAAAAGGTCGTATATTTCATAGTAGAAATGTAGTTATTAATGGGTAATAAGGTCTTGGAAATCGACTAGAGTGCTATTTATTTCCATTACTCAATTTACAGCAGTTT